CACTTCTCTTATTCTCTGCAACGTGTCTGTGGCAGAACCGTGTTGCAGGTCGATGTTGTTAAGTAGTTGGTCTAACCTTTGTCGATCGGTTAGATCTCCGAGTTTAAGGATGGCCTGTTTCAGGGTTTGGTATGGATCAGAAACATCACTAGTAAACATACTAGGTGTTGCGTACCTGTTAAATTCGCGCGGTAGTGCCTTGACTACTGCGAGGAATTGTGTACGCGTATCGTTCACACCGTGCTCGAAGAAGTCGGCTTTAGGGCTCTGTTCAGTCATAGTAATATACCAAGTACGAAAAGTGAACGAGTGGCAAATATATATATGAACCCAAAAACACGGAAAAAATATCACAATGTTAAAAAAATTAAAATAAGACAATGATATATAAAATCACAAAAAGGAACAGACTCACGGTTTACAATATGGTGTACCAGATCATGTCGGGCTCACTAATAAAGATGCCACAGGTATTCGGAGTTCGACAACGCTTTAACCAGTAACACCTAATATGAAGCCCACCAACCAAGTAAAATCAAAAGACAGAAGCGAGGAGATCGAAGATATATTTGATAAGCTATCAATATATCGAGGATAGTTTGCACTAATCTGGCTAGCGATTGTGACAGATGTTGAGCACGGCGTTCCCACACGTGATCTGGTGCGGATGCTTGACCGAGCGCCTTCAGCTAGATGAGTCCACTAAAACTGTGGTCAGCATCCAATGTCGAAAACTTACAGAGCTATTTGATTTTGGGGAATTATTTACCGCTACACTAGAACTAAACGGCCATCCAGTGCTTACAGGTTCTTGATGATAGTAGAACTAAAACCAACTCATGATTTAAATTCTGTGAAAATTCTATAATGTCCACAAAATTCTGTACTGACAATCGCAAGTGTTGACCCTAAAGATATATACACACATGCATTAAAACTAAACCATCACAATAGAACAAGTGATTGTATCAGGTCTGTGATTATTGATCACATATGACCTTACAGCAGTTAAATTAATCCTTAACATATCACAATATCATGTTTAACTGGGTTTCATCATCACTATTTTTTCATTTATTATGCATGATACTTATTCATTAGGTGAAGATTGGCGAAAATCACATTGTCTAAAAAGTAACTGATCTGAAAATAAATGACATAGATATCCACTGAGAAAAATAGAAAATTTTCCATTAGTTTTTATAGTGGGAGATATTTTGAAACAATTTCATTTAAAACATGACACTTTGATGTTGTATAATGTCGATACAAATTTATTGGCACCCCTTCATGAAAAATGGATAGTGAATTTGTTCAAAAAACTACATGACATCAAAGAAGAAAAATTATGTCAAGTCCTGACCAAACAAACAATGAATCAATCACCAAACACACAATTCAGAGGTCAACTAGGATAAACCGCGTGGATCTGTCTTACAATGAATTCTTAGTTTAGTGTTCAAATAAACAAACAAAATTCAAGAACCCATTGGAATCAATTATACAGGACTCGTTGATGAAACAGTAATGTAGACACACGAATCTACATTTCTGCCGAAAATGAAACCAAAGATTTGTATATGCTATATAGATGACACATTTGTTGTTGTTAATTGAAACGAACATGAAATACCCATAAGTTTATCGGCAACATCTTTAAAGACAGGGGTGCACATGGAAGGAATCAGGAAATGAAGTTCTCTTTATGAATATCCTAATCGGTAGAACTAATACAAAAACTTTGTAGCCACAAATACGTGCGAAATCTAGCCATCCAAACCAAATCTTAGGTCATAACAGCGACAACCTGACCGCTCACAAAGTGAGATATAAGCACAAGAAATTTAGAATAACTGGACTGAATTTCAGCTTCCTCGATGTGGAAAACTGGTAAACACCATCCCATTTACAGCTGTGAGAATGGCTACTCACGTAACTTCAAATAATGTCTACTAAATCGATTCATTATCACAAAATCATTTCTGAAAACCAGATCTCCCTCCCGCTAGCTTACATCTTAATGGTCTGCCCATAAATTATAAACTAATTATCCATATCACTGAGACAGCAACCAGAGCTCACACTTGTAATCATCCAATCCAGCCTTACTTTCCTGTCTATGGAATAAAATCCTACATTTTGACCAATGACACGCTTCAATGGATATGATGGAACTTGAAATGTGATCGAGACAGCTCGAAACCTTATTAGTCCAGAACGTAATGAGTCCGATAAGTGGACGCAGCATCAAATAGGCTTCCATTTTATTTATTTATATTTTAGGCACTCATAGGTTTATTTACATGGGTTATCAGACAGCAAAGCACACCAAATAAGAAATCACACTTTAAACACAATTCTGACATAAGTGACAGAAAACAAAGCAAATAGTACATAACCAATTAGCAATAATTAATATGTAGATCCGCTGAACGCCCACAGTAAAGAGAACGTAAAAGTACAATAATCCACTTATCTAAAATTAAACAACATTAATCCGTAAAGTAATCTCAAACGTTCAAGCGTCCTCAATACTCCTCCCGTTACACCCACTCACAACTATTGAATTAGCACTAGTTTTATAATCAGTCGTTACATCAACATATGAATGCACAGCCATGATAAACGAGGTTCTAAATAATTCGGAAGAAATTAACCCATCTCACTTCTGTTCCAGCCGATCCCGATAGATATGTCACTAATTTATCCTCCATTGTATTGTCCGTTTATGAGAAAGAGGCACTTTCTGTGGGTTTTAATTCTTCTGTCACTACAACAAATCTCTACATTGGCAATCAATACCAAATTCGAAAACCTCTATGATCAACTGAGTACTTTAGCCCCTGCAACTTTAGAGAGTCAAAGTTGGTTTAAAGCTAAACTAGTGGATATAACGCACCAGTTTCATTCTCTTGAACCAAAACAGAGAAGCATATTAACTTCTCAGCACTTCGATTCATTTAAAGAATTGCGAAATAATGCTGACATTATAGTTAAACCTTGTAAAGGATCAGGTGTCGTTATTCTGAATAAGTTTGATTACCAAAATAAAATAGGATCCATTGCCAGTGGTAAAAGCAAATTTATGGCTGATGTTGTCTCTGATGGATTATGTAAATTAGAAACTAAACTCGAATCTAATGAAATGATTAAACATAAACGCCATTGACAAAGGGGAGTCTAACTTGTTAAAATCTATGGGTTCAGTGTATCCTAATTCAAATGGATTATCAAAGATTCATAAGCCCAATATCCCCTTACATCCAATCCCATCAATGTGTCGGTCACATATAGACAATCTTGTAAAATGCCTGACAAAAGTATTACACCTAAAATGTCACAAGTATTCGGAGTTTGACAACGTCTTAACCAATAACACCATTTATAATGGAAACGTACCAACCCAGTGAAACCAAAAGACAGAAGCGAGGAGGCTTGAAGATATATTTGATAGAATATCGAGAGGTGACTGATATAAGCTGACTGGCGGTTGTAGATGTGAAGCACGGTGTACTCACTCGTGATCTGGTGCGAATGCATGACCGTGCACCTTCAGCTAGGTGAGTCCATTAAAACCGATCCGGTCAGCATCAAATGTCGAAGACTTACAGAGCTATTGATCATGGGGATTTATTTACCGTTACAAACTTTACCCGAAATCAATTCTGTGAGTATTCTTTGAATGATCCACTTGGACTAATTAAGTACTAAATGGATATTTATAGGAAAATAAAGACAATGTGCTCCTTTAATGTAAACACTTTACTTACAAGTGTACCTGTTAGGAAGACCATTAACATTTTATGTGATTATATCTCATTAGACAGCCTTCTGTTGCCATTTTCTGTTAAAACTTAAAGATTATCATTATTATGTACTGACAATGTGAAACTCACTTTTGAGGGTTAGTCGGATATACCTGTATCACAGTGTTGATGTTCACATTGAGACTACAATCTAGTACCGTGAGCTTCAAACACCAATTCGTTATCCCAGTCCGAATAACCACTAGCTCGTTCAATGGGTGTGATGTTTAAAAAATGTTGTGAAAAACTTGTTACGTAAACGCAATATGTACAGGAGCACACACGCGAAAACCGGACGATCAAAGTACAATCCTAAATATCAACAAAGGAGCAATCCACACCCATTACCAATAGTCATAAAATCAACTATGTTACCGGGTCCTCAAATTTGTGATAATGATGAACGGATTTTTAGTGTAATACTGATCGACTAATGTAACGTAATAATACTGCATGATCGAGTGATAATTGTTCACACGACCAAATTACTAATGTAGGTTTTCAAAGGAACTAACATTAAAAGACAACTTGGCAGAAGAATAGTTTTTGTTCTCTAGCCGAATAACACGCCTACACACAAAACGTAAAACATAAGAATAAACATGATTGCCTGTCATTTGACAAGTAAGTTGTGGGTTGTGTACGTCGATTACAGGCAAATGAAGTCAAGACTTGACTCATTAATGTCATGTGATCAACTTATAAGTTCGTATACAAGTTATTCGGTGAAATAAATCTACCATGTCACACTCGATTTCCTTTCCAAGTCTAGATAGACGAAGAGACTTTGAGCTTATAATGAAGTGATTAAAATAAATTTATATTACCCAAGCTAAAATATGTAAATGATATGTCCAGTGGGAGCAAGCTGTCATTTCACATTACACGTTGATTATTTACGATCTCCAATTCTATATTCATGGTTACGTACGTTTTCGTTGATATTTGCTTCTCGGTTAGACAGACATTGAGTGTCTGTGTTCGCTTTTACATAGTTCACTCCAGTCCATAACACAGTAAGCTACTACCACCACGTCACAAGGAATGAATTTCTTGATCTACCCCCTCCCCCCCATAGTAAACCAACAACGATAGAGAGGACACAAATGAAACAGTACTTACATAAGTATGTGGTAAATCAGCATCGTTATTAAAAAATTTAAATGTTGTACAAATATATATATATATATATATATATATATATATATATATATATATAACAAACTATTTCTTAAAATAAAGGATAAATAGGGACAACATATTTCAATTGATTAAGGGAACGTTAAAAAGTTAGTTTTGAATAGCAATGTGGATTAATACCAGATTCCCACCAAAATGAAGGGAAAACGTGACAATCAGAAAATACACTGACGACATAATTTACAAATAAAGAAGAGAGGAAGGAGGACGACGACGACGATACAGAATAGCGCTGTGGAAAGAAAAAAATTTCATTTTTTTCCCTGAGAACTTTAATTGTAGTGGTAGTTGCAGTTATGATGATGAGGAGAGAAAGTAAGAGACATTGAGAAAGCCGGAATATAGTCTTGCCATTTCACATTTCAATCCATCTTCTTAGATTTCTTGTGTCTACCTGTGAAACCAATAATGCAGCAATATAAATACATACATAGAACTCAGATATATAAAAATAAACCATAGGGAGAGAGACAAATAGATAGCATATGTAACATACAAGTGAGACAGATAGCCAGGATATTATATTAGGTGGGTTTACAAGTTTAAGAAGAAAACAATGTATAACATGACGAAAAAGTGTAGATTGGTTTAGAATATGTACACATTGATGCGAAATCAACGAGGCTACTTAAAAAATGGCTTCAATATTGACGGATAGCGGTTATCAAACAAACAGGGAGAGAGACATAGAGGAAAACAAGACGTATGAATGGACAAATTACAATACCACGTAATGCTGATCTGACAGGACCATCTCAACCGATATTGAGGTGGGTCTATTTCCATGATCGGTTTCCATTGTCATGTGCATTACAAATAATAGATTGATCGTGTTCATTTTATTTGTTTAATACAAATATAAGTTGACATAACTGAGCACCAAAATAGAACATTGAGCCTCTCCAATGCCGTGGTACGGTTGTTGGTGTGAAGAGTTGACACTTCCCATAGAAATAGTTAAATACGGCCACATTTTAGTCCATGCGAGAGAAACCCTACTCACCTGCTTTCACACGGTGCTACCATTGTTTACAAAATTGAGTGAAAGAGAAGCAAACTTCCAGAGTTTTAACAGGGTTGGTGGACACGGAAGGTTCACTTAAGCAGGTTAAAAAACCTTAACTCCAGACCAACAGCAAACATTGACCTGAGTGATATTGAGGGGACGAATGACCTATGATCCTATTTGGTTACCAGATAGTATGACACTACTCCATTACTTTGTCGATTAGACCTTCAAGTTAATGGCTCAGGGACCAGCCCTCTAAAACTGTCTGCTTTTAATTAGCACCCACATGCAGTGTTCTAGCCCACTCACACATATGACAATTGATAATCACACAAATACACTAATTCACAGTAAAAAAAGTATACCTTTTCTAACCAGGATAACGAACTATAGGAAAGATTTATTAAATCATAAGGATTCATGAATCACCACAGGTTTTTAATTAAGAGGTGCTTTTTTCTATCTGTAATTAACTTTTATTTTAAGGAACACTGTAAGAAAACTAAAGTAACCTTGGCAAGATGATGCTAGGATCCGATTTTTCATTATACTACGTGTTTGTCACCAGATAACTAAAAAGCAGAGAGTAGACAAATTACTTTAAGATAAAACAATCGTTGTACTGAAACATTCGTCAAAAACATCGATTGAAAAACTGATATTTCAATAGTTGGCTGATAACGTGACATTAACCAACAAGTTTCTACAACAGAAATCGACCATTTATACGGTAAGATAAAAAAAGACAGAATCATATAGATAAATTAGATCAATTATAAATAAATAACCAGGAATTAAAGTACATTAACACTTACTCTGAACAGGAATAGATTCTTTTCGCTCTGTCCGCTGTTGCGTTTTTGAAGTGAACCTTTTATGTTGAGTCTTATTTAAAGAGCGAACCATCAGTACACTGACTCCGAAGCAAAGGACAGTGGCGATAATTATCACTGAATAAAATCCAAATCGTCCAATATCCGAGAAAATCGCAAGTATGGGATAAGGGTAGAAACGATGGATGCGTATAAGGTATTCCACACTGAAAGCGAAATTGATAATCAACACAAACTTAAGGTTCTGCAAGTAACTTTAAGTTATTTTACAGGTAGCAACATAGTTCGAAAAAAGAAATGTATGGGTAGTAAGTAATCCCTCTTGAATGTGACAAATACGACTCAGTATTTAGCATACACGTTGGAAAACTAATCACCGATTCAAATATTACGAGTTAGGACCAAATTACGCTAGTTTTCTGATTTTAGTTTTGTGGCTTAAACGTTTAAATATTCAAATTCTCACAACTTCGTTGAGATACCGTTTTGCTAATATGGTGAGAGTAGGTGAGTATACAGTGAAGCTCACTAATAGCACTTCATGTTGATTAAGCGCGGTAAACACGTAGATATGTGTATATTATATTGTGAACTACATATAGTTGTGGGGGTTAGCAAAACTATAGTCTCTTATATCCGGTTAGATTCGGTAGGGTATGGTTTAAGAGGTTAGTATAAACCCTGAGCTTAAATCCTGCCAGAACATCTCTATTCTCGATGGCACTTTGAACCGATGCACATGTACCAGGTTCTACGTTGCATATGACTGACTGACTCTCTGAATTCCATTTCTTATATCTAGTCCTTTTACAACCAGTGTTAGTACTCATTTTCGCCTCTCATATTTCTGATTCTCTCTGTGTCAATCTACGGCGTGAAAACTTGTACCAACCAACACTCCTCCTAGACCTTGCGTTGCTTACAGATAAATAACACTCATTCGGATCTGGTTCTGTGATCCATAAGTCATATAAAAGATAAGGCATTTAGTTAAATCACAGTGGTATACACATATATCTATTACTCATGTAGAAACTAGAGAGTAACCCTAATATCTGACATAAATCAACGTGAAAAGACAACATCAAAAACACTTAGTCTCTTAACACTAAACTGTGTCTTGAAAATCCCAGAAACAATTAAAATGTAGCGGAAACTTAAATTCAATTTCCAAAGGAATCGGGAAACGAACGTAACTGTTGCCAGTGAGAAATACGAACCACGAAATTAAACAATCTGTACCGCGCTGAGAAAGTAGTACTTCTACAGACCTTTTGATTAGGAAAACCGATAAGTTCTACAAAAATTCAATTGATTTTGTTGGGATGGATGGAATTCATCTTATCGTCGAATAGCAACGAACTAGAAAGGATTAATGTTGTACACTGCGAGAATCAATAGTCCTAGGCTTTTTTTAAGCACCACTGTCTTGAACTTAAAAAGGCATCTCAATAAAAAACCTCTCCGTGAAAGCACCTACTGCATACCATAGCATCACCTACAGCTTGAATGTAGCTCTGTAGAAATACTGGCTACTCTGTACGGCCTTTATTTATAGGGAGAATAAGCCTGATGAATGAAAAGTGTGGATGTCGGTTCCGTGTTGCATGAAATCTTTAAAGATAATCCATCTACTTCTATAATTAGGTACTTTTGTTGTTGCTTAATGAGATCATGTCTTGTTGACGCTAACGTACAGTCTGCATTTAAAATATAAACGGTTCAGTCTGAGAAGATAAAACTACTTGCAATACCTCTAAAAGACCACAGCGGATACTAAAATATTTATTACAGAACACACTATAGACCTAGTAAACGCCAACAAACAAAGCTTTAATTGGAACTTACTAGATCAAATATCCACCGAAGTATGCTAGAAGAAGCAGAACTGAGTTCGGTATAGGAACGATTGTTGGTCTCCATAGTAAAGCGTCAATTATGATGGCAGGAGTTCCAACAGTGTGCTAAAATAAAACTTACGACTGGACTTACACAAGCATGATTGTACCACCACGGGACAAATTTCACTTCAGATTCCTTCATCAATAAGGTCTTATCCGTGATGAAAATACCCCAGAACATAATACACACGATCTACATATTAGAATCGAAATCCGCTTACTAAATTGGCTGTAAATGCGAGAGCGTACAGTGAGCCGTGCATTTTACAGTTTTTGAAATACTGTAAAGGAGTCGCCAAAGCATAGTAAACAACTTGAAGTGACTGAAACAGCAATAAGTCTCGGTATCAAAATAGCTTACTATTGTCAGGATTGTAAGAAAACGCATTAAAAATACCAGGTCCTTGAAATGAAACGGACCATTACCATGAAAAAGTTGATAAGTATAAAAAACTATATAAATAAAAAAACAGAGTACAACTGAGCGATATAACACGCTAAGCACACTAGCCATCTAAATTTGCTGTTTAATTTCAAGACAAAACAAATTTCAACGAAATGATTTATATAAACAAATTTTGTTATATATTCAACAAGATTTTCAGGATTAAGAGTAAACTGGTTGAATTTTTTTGTACTCGCCAGTTACTTCAAGTGGTCCAGGTGGTTCTGAATGGAATAGTAGAGCCACTTTGTTTAACAGGCTACCGTGTCTAGTAGTATTCGATCATCGATGCCTCCAGGTAGGAACCTCGATATATTAAACAATAAAATGAAAAAATACTATTACTAATCACCGGGAATAAGTCGAGTTTTCTATTAACAGACTCTTGATTATTCGTTTGAAATAGCTGAAGCGGCAGCGAATTACATGTTTGACTGCTCATATAGAGTAATATATGTGCCTACTGTAGGTATTTAATGGGATGTCGAGTTTTTATCATACTACAAGTCATTGGAACGTCATCTATGAGATGTCTATATTATAAGGAGTAAAAATGTAGTTGTTTGAGCCTTGAATTTGGGTTTGCGAATTGTTTTTGTGGCTCGTCTTTGGATAGGTCATAATACATCTTTATCCTTTCTTAGTAAGGAAGGGAAAATTATATTGCCATACTCTACGTGGGACCGAATAAAAGTTTCAAAGTTTAAGTGCAAACGTCTACTTTCAAACAGACAAAAAATGTGCTGCACTGTTACCAGTGCAGGGTTTACCCGAAAAGCAATTTTTGTCGCGACTAGACTTCAGAACATTTCTTACCAAACTTACCAGATATTTTTGACTTTCAGTATCTCTAGGGGGAGTTACTAAATTTGTATTCATAGTCTGCAACATGTTTCAGGTGAACTACACTACACTTTGAAGTGTTAAACGTAAGTCGGTTTCTATCTGCACAACTATGAGTTCGATTCAGACCCACTATAGATACCACGTTTCACCTTGTCGTAAAATTTTCTCCAGGGTTTCAAATCGTCAGAGAAACGCAATAAATCTGATAATACTTGCCAATAAAATTTATTCACCTAAATTAAGAAAAGAAGAGGTCCTAGTACTGAACACTGACATACAACAGCAGGACGTTCTGTGAGTATAGATAAGTTATTGAGAATGACCACGTTTGAAAGCCCGACTGAATGAATCTTCCGGCGTTCACCATAGTTGACCTCCCTTTTGTGTCAATTATTGAGTATGAAACCTCACAGTAAATATCTATTTAACTTCAAGAAATGTGTTGTTAGGACCCGATAGCACTAAATGCTCCTGGGGTTTCATTCGATCAATATGTCGGTTTTGTGTACCTAAATTAACGGTACATAGAATTTGAACCGCAGATTTTTCGAAATGCCTCACCATAATCTGCGTGGTTGGTTGAAGATCACTCTCACGATAATATGTAACCTCTACAGACTCCAAACACCTCATATTAGAACGATTAGTCCATCCTTTTGATATCTTTGACACAGTCTCGTTATAGAATTTTAACATTCTTATATTGCAGTAGAAATGTATATGCCCTCCTCTCCAGTTCATTAAATGTTGAAGCGGCAATAAAATTAATAACAGTTTTCAATATCTGGGAGCCTGGGAGCAGTAAATATATATCTGCACCCTTCCGACCCAAAACCTTTCTTAGGGCATGGATTGTAAAATCAGAACTTGGTAAAAGTTGCGAAAATATAGTTCATGTCACTTAGAAAAAGAATCAGTGACAATGAGTGCACGAGAAATGGACCACAATAGTCTGCAAGAGTACCCTTCCTGGCATGAGACGATATTTGCCACAGAGTCTACTTCAAAGGGTTGATTTTCGACCTATGACCTCATTCACAATTTACCTCCAGCCACCAACATTGGAGCCTAGACAAGAATTTCATTTTCCCGACACCCAAACTGGACGTTTGGGGTTGTAAAGATTATTTAATCGCATTGAAATCCTTAATGTTAGTTCGTTGACATTTTTTGGCGAAGTTGCGTGTTTAGTCGTTCTTATGACGAATAGTCATATTTTTCTTCATTTTTCCGCGCTGCAAGTGTGCTTCAGTGTGTTCTCGCCCTCCTGAATAACGTTTTTGTGCAATTGATTTGGTAAGTTTTTGGATTGTTGTCAATGTTGTTAAGAATTTGACTTGTGCAGGTTGGCTTCCAATACAATTGAGTATCTAGTTTTTTTTATGTCGGTTCTGATGATTAGAACTCCTCCTGTAGCTCTTCTTGAGTTGCTGCCGGTCTCAAGCAAGGGTAAAGGAGGAGTTTGGGCATGGGGTTAGCGTCCCCATACCCTAAAAAACTAACTCGCTAAAAAAACGCTAACCAGAAAAAATAACTCAAGCCATTTAAAATCTGCCCTGAAAATTAGAAGGTCTTCATTTAGAAGAAATATAACGCCTCATGGTGAAAGCCGAGTTCCTTTGGAAGCCATGAGATCTATGCCCTTTCTGACAACTAGAGCAACAATTTTCATAGGTACATGGAACGTCCAGGCAATGTGGGAGACCGGGAAGACCAGTCAAATAGTAACGGATATGAGGAGATACAAATTAGGAGTACTGGGAATCAGCGAAGCCTACTGGATCCAAGCTGGACACACGAAAAAATGCAGATAAAAACAGCCAGTGTAGCAGTAGTCTCTAAATCACTTGGCCTCAATATACACAGGGCGAAAACCAAGGTCCTCAAACACAACACGGAGAACAGCAATCCAATCATTCTTGATGGTGAAACTCTGGAAGATTTGAAGTCCTTCACATACCTGGGAAGCATCGTCGACAAACAAGGAGGTTCAGATGCAGACGTAAAGGCGATGATTGGCAAAGCAAGGGCCACATTCCTTCAATTAAACAATATATGGAACTCAAAACAACTTTCAAGCAATATCAAACTCAGAACATTCAATACCAACGTCAAGGCAGTTCTACTGTACGGAGCTGAAACTTGGAGAACTACAACAATCACCATCAAGAAGGTACAGGTATTTATCGATAGCTGTCTGCGCAAGATACTCAACATCCATTGGCCGAATACCATCAGCAACAGCCTTTTGTGGGAGAGAACAAACCAGCTCACAGCTGAAGAGGAAATTAGGAAAAGACGATGGAAATGGATGGAACATACATTACGCAAATCATCAAAATGCACCACGAGCAAGCGCTAACTTGAAATCCTGAGGGGAAGCGGAAAAGCGGAAGGCCAAAGAACACCTTACGTCGGGAAATAGAAGCGGATATGAAAATGATGAATAACAACTGGAAAGAGCTGGAAAGGATTGCCCAGGACAGGGTTGGATAAAGAGTACTGGTGAGCGGCATACGCTCCTTCGCTAAGCGTAACAAGAGTAAGTAAGCAAGTAAGTAAGTAAGTCTGGTGACTAGCACGTCATCAAAAAACAAGCTAAAGAACGCCTAAAATCCGAACAAAATTTTATTCGATGACATAACATTTATAATGGATAATGGAGTTTAACAACAAACTCCCATCCTTTGATTAAGCTCGATTAGTTCATCATGATAAGCAGTCTGACCACCTGTCGAAATCTTCAGCTAAGGTCAGAATCACAAAATTGTGTTTAAAATGAAAATGCATTCCATAGGCAATGCCCGTTTTGTACAGAATTGCTATCAAAATAATCATACTGTGAATTCTGAAATTTAATAAACTGAGACATCTATAAAAATGTTTGACCGCCATATTTTTTAATAAACAGCGACATAATGTTGTGATTTCAAAATAATAATCACGTTTTCTGTTTTCTTTCACTAATACTTTTATAGTTTGTCCCACATTTCATGAAAATATCCTTGCGTCACGATGTCATACAGCTCAGGAAGTTCATTCTCGATGATGGATGACTATTGAAACTGTGATGTTGATGGGTATAAAGATCGTGAAGAAAACGTTTTTATTTCGTGTGCTGCTTTAAAACCCGTATTCATATAGCGCTTTTCTTGATGAAATGTCAACTATTTTTAAGTGGCTGTCAACTTCCCATTTCATGACGTATGAGACGTAACAAGGTGTGCAAGTTTTAGGGTTATCATATTTTCACCACCTTAACACGACTATTTTAAATGTGAAGCGATAATTCCAATTAATTTTACACCTCATGTCTTCTTGCTGAAAACATTCATCCCACGTTCTCAGTTTCCTTCGTGTGGTTCAATATCAAGTAACTGAGTATGATCACGCCTATCAGACCTTGACGTTAGCTACATAATGCTCGCACTAAAGTTTGATATTGCCGGTGGTATGCTCTGAAAAACGGCATATAGTTTTCAGAGTCTTAGGCACTGACTTGAATTCCACTATTGAGTTCACAAGTGAACGTGGAACTCTCTACTATCTATGCTTTATGCGCATATATTAGAACGCGCATATCAGAGGTACGTACATTTCAGTGACACATATGGGCACAGATACGCGCGGCTTCCACTATGTGTTAAATGCAATCACAGAATACAGATAAAATTCCACTGATCTCAAAAGTACATATAGGCATAGAAGCCTCAGCTCACAAGTGTAAGTTACATGCGCATACAGTTAATTAAAGGAGTAAAGTCAATAACTATATATCCCAGTACACTAGTGATCAATTTACTCACATTAACATCAAAGACTGACTCTAGTTTAGTCACCCTTGATTTATAACGAAAGATAAAATATAAGGTTTAGTTGTTTGCGTTTGTTGTTACTGAAAAGAATTTGAAATAGACCAGCTGATCTGTACTCAAGAGAAATTCACACCTTGCTTTGTGATCTAAGAAGACGGGAATCATATTTTATATATCTAATCGTCATATCATATACATGTTACATAAATTGATCACGGCATGTTAAATACAGATGTTTCTATTTTAATTTTCCTTCCACAACATTATTCTATTACTCACCATTTTTATATCTTTTACTTAAGTTGCGATGACTTATGGCTTTGTTGAGTATCACGTAAATAAATCACTAGTCAGCACATCGATTTTAATGATCTTTTTCTAGAACTAATCAATAACACTCCAACGAAAACCAGCAGCTTTTAGTCAACTCTGCTTCCTTAGTGGTCCTC